TCTGTATGTGTATATACATACATGAATATATGTATGCTGACAGACAGACAGACAGACAGACGGACAGACAGACAGACAGACAGACAGACAGACAGACAGACACACATACATCCATGCATGCATACATACATACAGACATACATACATGCATACATACACTCATACGTACATACATACATACATACATACATACATACACACATACAAATGCATATGCCTGCGTATGCATGCATAGGCACCGACCTACCTACCTACGACCTACTTACTGAACTGCCCGACCTACCGGCCTACCGTATCGACCTTTGCCTATACCTACGTACGTAACCCATCCGCCAACCCACCCACCCGACCTGCACCCCCCCGACCTGCACACCCACCCACCCAGCCAGCCAGCAAGACACAGGCATCGCCGCCTCCACCGGCATGCATGCATGCATACATGCAAGCAGCTGAGTCTACACATAAGCATGTTACAATGCTTCATATAAATAAATAAATGAATAATTAAGGAAATAGATAAGCAAATAAATAAATAAAAAAGTATACATATATATATATGTGTATATATATATGCATAGCCATGTTTTCGTATCCAAGCGGAAGGATCCCAATAACAACGCATGCAAACCGAAGCGACTCCACCTGGTGCTAGGGATATTGAACGCTGCCGAAGATGCTTGTGCAAGCCCTGCTCTCAGAAGGCAGTGGGCAGACATAGCTGGAGACATACTTCTCCATGGGGCCTCGCCGTGCGAAGAGTCCACAAAGGGACAGAGACAACCTTGTCCAGTGCTCAGGTGGCTGGGCCGTGCCACACGGCAGGACATGCGAGGCGATGTGTGCGCCAGGCTCGTTCTGCCAATTTCTGTTCAATACGAGCAGTTGGGGACACTGGATGCACTTTGCCCGGGTCATATCATGGCGGCAGGATTCGCGCCGACGGTCGCGCAGCTCCATTGCGAGGCCTGCAGTTTGCCTGTCACCAGCATGAAGGAATTTGCTGTCCCATCGCAACACCTGCGAAGCTTGTGAGCTGCTTGTAAACCTCACTGCCTGTGCACTCAGGTTGGAATTTTCCAACCATCCACGTTTGCTTGCAAAGCGACCTGCTGTCTCTCGTCGCCAATATCAGCAAATTTCAATCTTGATTTGTTAGCGGATTGTTGGGCATGTCGTATATGCTGTTGTGAAGACAAACGGAGCTGCTGCAATCTTTACTCTCACATACCCAAGTCTCTGAGCCATTTGCTCTGCAATTTGTGCTGACAGGTGCTAAATGCAAGTTCTGGTTTGAGAAGTTCGGGTGCAAGGATTCGCTCAGTATGTCTGTCCATGCTGTACTTTCGAGGGCATGACTGCAGAAAGGGCTTCTCACTGGGGCAGCAGGGTTCAAAAACCATGGCTGCTCGCTGAGGCGAGGATCGGCCGGCGGAGAACGCAACCTCTTGCGCGCATGCCTGAGATGTCCAGCCTGCGGGGTATCTGCAGCGGCGTCGTGACGACGCCCAATCGGAACATGCCCTTCTTCCGAGCCAGTCGAGTCTAGTGAGCACAGTTCCATACAGACTGGTTCAAGACAAAAATTGAATGCCCTCTAACTGCCACGGGCGTGAATGACCGAGACAGGAGCGGTCTGGCAGTCATGGCTTTCCTCTTGCAGAGTCCCGACCTGGACCAATAGTACTACGGGGCGCAAGGGCAAGGCCACGGTGTAAATCGGTGTGTAACTTTCGGTCACTTCTGTTGCAGAACGAGACCAAGATCATGTGCCCCTGTACAGACCTACAATGCTCCTGTCCTCGACTTCCAGTGTTTCGGGATTTGCCACTGGCAGTGCTCCCAACCTTAACCCGATCAACCCTAAACCCCAAACCCAAACCTTAGCATGAGCTGGTGGAGGGGGCGGAGTAGGGAATGGGGACACAGTTGGAAGACACGAGTATGCCGAAGGATGACAAGGGTGACAGGAGCTACTCAGGGTGGCGAGTGAGACAGCAGGTGCGTCTCTTACAACAGGAAGTTCTGACACCACTAGGCGGGTGGAAATGGGCGGAATATGGCGTTCAAACAAAAACACACCCTAAAAAGAAGTCCCGGTAGAAGCACCTGCTCAAGGTGGCTCTTCCGCCTCGGAGCCTTCCCTGTTCTGCGCCGTTGGGAGTGGGTCTGGCCCAGGCCACACGTGGATCGAGGGCTCAGACAAATTATGGGTATTTACTATTACTAGCACTACTATTGTTATTACTTTTAATGTTGTACTTCTTATGATGCTTCTTATTGTTAGTATGGTGCGTCTTCGACTGATGTCATGTTTCACGATTGATGGTCTCGTGCGGTGGGGTCTGGATTTCGTCAGGGTAATGGGTTCCACTTTTCTGCCCCAACCATTCCGCCTTCTTCGCCTTGTCCTCTGTACCCTCAAAGAGCCCTATCTCGTCCTGTCGTCCTCTGTACCCTCCAAGATAAGACAGATGAGAGTGACTAAGAGAATCTTGGGAGATGAGCTTGCAAGACTGATGGTTTTTGTGTTTGAGGCATGCATCGCTGCCAACTACCATGGTCTTCTGCATCGCCATCCTCGCTTTCATCAGCACCACCATCATGGTTCATGACTGTTGACTACTGAATGTTGTCGTGACGGTGATTGTCCTCAGCCTCGTCCATCGTCCTCAACTTTTTTGGTCATTAGCATCACCATCATGACCGCCGCCGGCATGAGAAGAGTCGTCCAGTACAGTGGCATAGTTTCGGTCGTTGAGAACATGAATGTTCAACACATGTTATATTGATAAATGTGTAATTGTGTGATCAAGCCTAGCTGAACTTACCGGGGGGTCGATCTTCGACAGGTTTAAATGACTTTTTGGGGGTCATAGACCTTGTTTTCATGATAGGTCATACCTGCTCACCCGTCGGCGCCTTTCCGAACTATTTGCAGCTTTCCGTGGTTCCTCTTAGTTTCTTGAACTTCCCTGCTCGCACATGACTCACGCGGGGTGAATTTTCCTGTTGCACCGACAGAAAGATTCCGGTGAGTCTTTTCCTCTAAGTCTACGAGTCTACGATGCACCAAGACGAGCTCAGAGCAAACAAGTCTTGAAGAGCTATCGTCCGCTGGACGAGAAGCACAAAGCTGCGGGATGAGGCCCAACGTAACCGATGCTCCTCGTGAAGCTTATTGGAGGGATATTGATGTGCTCTTCCGAGGACCCGAGCTGCGCGGAAGGTTTCCAGATTCCCATCGGCGGCCGCTGTCGTCCTGCATGCATAGAGGGTGCGGGCCTTGTCGCACTGCCACTACCACCATCCTTGTCGCCTTGAGTAGCGAAACACTTCTGGTGTCAAAGCAAACTGTCTACAGTCGAGGGAAAATGGTGCTACCTTGGCTATAGCATGCCGCAGGTTACGAGCCCACAGTGGCCTTGCTGCGCTGCAACACCAGTGGCACAGGTGCCGGGTCGTTCAACGCAGTGTCGTGCTGAAACCTTTGATCTATAGCTTCCGGGATTCCAGCACACGAAGTGCAGGGAATACAGCTGTAACAACCTGCACCGTCCCTGACGTTGGGAAGGAGGGAAACGATTGACAACGTTGGCATGGCATGACAGTTTGAGGAGCGCGGTAATCAGCCTTGGGCTGGTGCTCAGTATTGCCGGGAAATGCAATTTCTGAGAAAGACCTTGCGGATGATGGTGCCATGTCTTTTGGTGAACCTGTGCAGGCGAGCTGTCGCCAGCAACCTTCCAATGCCAACGCTGCTTGGCAAGCGCTAGTGGCAGTACAGGCTAGTTAGCAGATAGTTAATAACATAAGTTACATAATATTAAAAGTTATTATAAGTATATACTCATACTAATAAGTACATGTGGGGAAATTCCCGCGATCTTCTGAACCTCCTGCTGTCGGAAGGTACGATTGCCCCGAAGTCTACGTCAAAGCGGTTAACTACTCAAATCTAAGCCTAGCGAAAACTCGTAGGTTTGTAGCTTCGGTGCTAGAAACTTGCTATGCTTGGACAATGGAGCTGTCATTGTTTATTCTGTTAATTCCGTGAGCGATAGAAAGGGGCAATTTCCAAAGACAGATGTTCAAGATATGTGGCTCGATGTGCGTCCCTGGAAAACCGTACAAGCCCCATGTAGACAGCTGGCAAACTAGCAGACGTAGCAGACTGCCATGCAGTCAGATGCGAGTTGATCCTTCGCTCTCCGCTGGCTCGGCCACGGCTCCAGCTTCCACATGTCGGCTGTTCCATTGAATCACGTGCATGAAGCCACGAGGCCAGCGCGTGGATAGCAACTCCTCCGATCAGACCGATAATCCCGATGCTGGTGAGTGGGAGACTTAGTGAGCATGTGATGGGGCTTTCCAGATATTTAGCCTCTTCAGGGCCATGGCGGCAAGGCAGAGAGGTTTCATGCAGCTGGATTTTGCAAGGACAAGTAGTGGCAGAGGTTCCCAGTCTGCGGGGAAACAGTGTGAAGTCCGTCGCAGCACTGCTGTCCGTCTTTCGTTAGCTATAACCATTCGCTCCACCAAACGAATCCCGCCAGAAAACCACATGTGGTATCATTGTTGTGGGACGTTTTGCCGCCGCAGCCTGACACACGAGGAAAATTTATCCACGGCTTCTGGAATCTCATAAGACTCCCAAGTTGCGTCGTCATAAGGTCCGCAGGCCTGTTCCTGGTCGGTGCAGAGCTCCGTCTGCTTCTCAGCAGTTTCCCTCCTGCTCTGCTGCAACGAGAACTGATCCGTAGGAAGCCGATGGTCTGGCGTTGGTGGGTGCTGGTGATGTTCATCAAAATTCCCTGAGGCTTTGGTATCTGCAGAGCTTCGGCAATTAAGGGGCTTGTCTCGCCTAAGATCACGAAAGACGGGACCCAAACTCAGGGCTCAAGATATGGCATGCGTGGTGACCTGTCTGATTTGTTGTGCTGTTTCCCTTCAATATGCTTATATGCGTGTAAGGATTTGCTGGGGCCTTAACCTCCTGCGAGGTCTGGACATCTTCCCAGTGAGTCTCAGCACGCCTGCCTCTGCCCGCGGCTCATTGATGTTCTTGTCAATATCGCGGGCTTGGCGTGACATGTTTTTGCTGGTTGCAGGAGATTAGTGTGGATCGCAAGGACTCTCTCCGTACAACACACCACCATTGGTACGATCTAGTCACGTTGCCGACGCAAATTTGTGTTTGGGTGTGTGATTGTCATTGTCATCATCATTCTCGTTGCCATTGTCATTGCCATTGTGACTGTTGTTGCTGATGTTGATGCTGCTGTTGCTGTTGCGGTTGGCACCTTGCTGTTGTTGCTGCTGCTGTTGCTGTTGCTGCTGCTGTTGTTGTTGTTGTTGCTGCTGTTGCGGTTTCGGTGGCGGTTTTGAACTTTGCTGCTGCTGTTGCTGTAGATGTTGTAGGTGTTGTTTTGATGGATGTGGTTGTGCTTACCCAACAAAGGTTCTTGCAGAACTGCCTGCGGCCCGCTCGGCCCTCCGTGCTGCCTCCAGCACCAGCGCTGTACGAGCTGCGTCGGCTGCCGCCTTGCGCATGCCCCAGGAGCAGGCGACTTGGCCGAATAGCTGAGTAGAAGTTTGGTATTGTCGCAGTTGAAATGAGTACTGTGCAAGTGTTAGTAGTTTCAGTTTTGGATTTGTGGTACTATGTAGCAATAGTACGAGTGTTGCAGCAGCATTTACAAGCAGCCCGGAGGTCTACAGCAGACGAGGATTTCTACCAACACAAGAGCGCATTACAGGACACTTCATCCAGAAGCTAGAGACCCTGAACCTCGCAAGCAGCCTTCAAAAGTTCGAACAAGAGACCCCGAAAGCTGAGGGGCACAGCTAAGGCTCTGAGATAGTTTTGGTATTGAACATAATGTCAGTACCATATGTTCCGATTGAAGACATAAATAAGTCAAAGCACCAATTAATGCCGTCGTACATCTCAACCGCTTTGCCGTGGCACGTACATGCCTGGTGTTTGTAGTACTGCCGACTTTGCAGGTAGCCGTGGTTCTCCACAATCAGATGAACATCTCCTCGAGGCGTTTGGCAGAGAACGAAGAGGCGCGGTGACAGAGACAGCTACAGTTGCTAGTACTACTCTGACAGTCGCGGCAGCACGCTGTGGAAGAGGTTACGGGGTCTCGTAAATACCATGGAGCACAGATTAGTTTTGCTACGGAAGGCTTTCTCGAACCTGACGCTCTACAGCCTTATTCTCGGGCGCAGCAACGCCACAGAGGCGAGATCAGAAGGATGTGCATGATGCCGTTGCCTTCAAGATGATCCATCCTTGTTCGCCCAGCACATCACAGGAATCTGGGGTTAGTGCTTCAGTCGGAGATGCCCGTTTCCCAGAGGACATGGTTTCGCAATAAGACTTGCAGGACTAAGGCATTTTTGCTGAGCACGTGGCATGCACAACGAACCATCGAAATTCTTTGCCGCATGACAGAAGTGTCGTGTCGAAGGTGCGTGGTTTCTTTTTGATTGCATACTTGCCCTCTTGGATGCGACGAGGAGAGATGATCACACAAAAGTAATGAAAAGTCCGAGTGGTCGGGTGTTCGTGACACACTTCCCGAGCCTACTAGTAGTCTAGTCAGACTAGATGCTCCAGTCTGTCACCATCGAGTACATGTGGCAGAAACGGCAAGAGAACAGTTTGCATAGTTGCGAGGTCTTGGCTAATCAGTTCTCCTCACCCAAAGCCCAAGAGATCCCCGAGCAACAGGTGGTGCTACAGATCCAGGAGCTGCTGGCTGGTGGAAGCCCTGCACTGCTCTTCGAGGTCCCCCTGATCCTCAGGGATCTTCGGCCCACAGCGGGTGCTACAGAAGTCTACCTGCCGGTGGTCTTTGCGGCACTGTAGTGCCATGAGTAGCAGAATACTCATCACGTCCTGTTTGCTAAATCCAACAAGGCGAATGGCCATCATAGATCGAGGCAGTGCAAGAATTTCATGCCGGACAGGGAGCCCCTGCTTTGTCCACGGCCCCAGATCTTGTGTTCGAGCACATTCGCACTGTGCCAGGAGTCACTCAGGACCAGCCTCCCCGAGCTCTTGGGCGACCAGGATAGGGATGCGGAAATGTCCCTGCAGATAGAAAGCTTGAGTGCTGCTTGTCATGCTTACGTCCGCCACATCATCGCCGCCAGCATTGTCACCAATATCATCACCATCAGCAGAACGATAATGAGCAAAGTCAGTAATCATTAGCTTCCTCATGATGCCAGCAGTATCGTCAGTGCGCTGTGAACCTTTTCCTCCTCCTCCTCCACTTCCTCCTCCTCCACCTCCTCCGCCTCCCTCCTTGTCCTCCTCCTGCTCCTGAGAAGCAGGAAATGTGCATGTAGCTGCAATGTAGCTTCTGTTGTTGTCGTGTGACACATACGTTTGCCATGTGGGCCGTTCATTCCAAGCTCTTTGACTTCATTTCAAAGTAAACTCCCCGTCAGTTGCTGCCGTTGCCCGTGTAGTTTTAAGTCGCTCGCACAAGCCAGCTTCTATGACTCGTTCGGATCAATAAAAAACTGAGCAACAAGTCAGAGGTGTTCAGAAGAGGTGCTGGCCAGAATTGGAAGCACCAGAAAAGTCAACCAACACTTCAAGCATATTAGTCTGCTACCGCTAGACTGTGTTTGACGATGTTTGTCCTGAGCTGTTGTTTTGTGTCTGCTTTATTTGCAGCTTTTCTCTGAATGGCCTCCTTGTAAAATTTCCCATTCCAATCCTGCGGCATGTGGCCTGATTCCTGATTTCGTCCTGTAACTTTTGCTTGTTTCAGGAATTCGTAGGACAAGCTATGAAGCGAACAGCAGTTCTGCACCGTTAGTAGTAGCCCTTGCACTGCGAATGTGTTCCAACTAGTAAGCCAGTTCCGACAGGCTCCTTCCTTGCTGGCGGCACTCGCAGATGAGGCCGGGCTCTCAGCTCCATGGCAGGCTAACTCTTGCAGCTGCAAGCTCGCAGGGCTTACGGCGTGAAGAAGTTCGGAACTTCCCACGTGCTCGCGTTGACTTCAAGCAGCGCCGATCACCAGGTCACTTCGGGCTGGATCTCATCTCTGCACAAGTTGCAGGACTCGGAGATCCGTCCGCTCACTCAGCGATTCCATTCTCAAGACCATGTTGGCACAGGTGCCAATGATTGAACTTGAGATCTGCCCCGCGATCCCTGCCACCCCAAGCCCGAGATGCCTCTGCAGCTCTCCAACGACGAAAACCCCATAATGATAATAATAGTAATAATAACAATAATAATAGTAGTAATAGTAATAATACTAATAGTATTAATCAGGGAACGTTTGTTCACCTTCGCTGCCGAGTCCTGACCTTGGTGCCCTCCTCCGACTTTGCAGCCACCCTCCCACCAGAGCTGGATGACTTCCTGGCCAAGGCCGGCCGCTTTTTTTGAGGTATATTTCTATGTACAGTTACATAAGAAATAGATAAGACTTGATGTAGATATAGAAACAAGATCGGCCGCACATTTTGCCGAATCGGTGAGCTCACATGGATAACTGCATAAAAGATTATTGATCTTCCGACATGCGTTCCCGATGACATTGCTCGAGATGCAGGCAATGCCCACCATTCCGTTCTTCTTAGATGGTCAAGAACAGGACCCAAGACAGCTGACCGTGGCTTTATGTAGTGCGTGAATTTCTTGGCTCGCTCTTGAACTCTCAAATGTTACTTTAAACTCACACATCCTAAACCTAAACCCAACACCCTGACCCTTATGGCCTGAACTGCAGGTTTTCCAACAAACAGATGACGGAGGTGACAACAGCGTTGACAGCGAGGAAGGCCTGCACGGTGGATCGCTGTCGGTGCAGCGTTTAGGGGTTTACGGTTTTGGCGGCGGGCTTTCCACTGGGGGGGGGGTTCAATTCTGTTGCCGACGGTGTTTCAAGTCGTGCGCAGCTTTTGAACTGTTGATTTCTCTGCCGAGATGCATCGTGAGCAATGCGCGCCAGCGTGAATACAATCCTGCCGGACTATACCGACTATACCTACATACTGGAGCATGCTGCAGCAGATTCTCCTGATATCACCGGATAGCACCATAGCCATAATAGTCACAAGTTTGTACCGCTGCCATGACATGGTCATACTCGCTACATTTTGTAGGCTGTCAGCAAACCCGGCATAACCTGATCTCGACTTGTGCAAACAACATGTGGCCAGCACGAGGCTTCCCTTACACCGACGGCTTTCTGGACTTTCTCGAAGGCTCCCTGCTGTGATTCGGTGGCATGGCCGAGGAGTTTGAGGATGTGCCTAGAGGATCCACAGTGGAGCAGCCAAGACAAGAGTTGTGAGATTTTGTGAGCGACAATTTAAAACGCAGCCCCAGGCTGGCGGGTTTGATGACAGACATACTGTCCAAGTCAGAAAGCTGCACCTCATGCATGAAGGTACTTGTCAAGGCTGATACTCGAAACACCGGAACACTGGAGCAGGCGTGTGGTTCCTGCAAGCAACCCGGATCCAGTTGGCAAGCAGGCCTGGTCCAATTTGGTGGCAGTACTAGTAACGTCCGATCTGCATATGCCATGTGAGTTGGTAGGTTCGCAGACGCTGACGCCAACTTTCTTCGCCAGAGCACAGATTGCGCTCCTGGGTTAGGTTGGGCAGTGGAATCGCCACGGACACGGTGCTCGCCCTCATCGCTTTCCTTATTGTTTGTGCTGTGCTGACCTCGGATAGCTCATTCTGAGCTTTTGCAGGAGGGGGGCAGATCTGTAAACCGCGTTTGGCAACATGTCAACTCTGCCAGGGACACAAGGTTCATGTCTTGCGCAGAGGTCCATCTTCTCAGACTGGCACTCCCACCAGAACCACAACCACAACCACTACTACCACCACCTTTACTACGACGACGGCTACTACTACTACTACTACTACTCCTACTGCTCCCATTCGTACTCCTACTCCTGCTCCTACTGCAGCTCGATTACTACTACTGCTGCTGCTACTNNCCACCACCACCGCCACCACCACCCCCGCCACCACCACCGCCACCACCACCACCGCCTCCACCACCACCACCACCACCACCACCACTGCCACGGCGAGTGCCAGACTGCCAGACTGCCACCTCAACTACCACCGCTACTACCAGTGCTAGTGCTACTACGACGACAACGATGTGCTCGTACTCTCAATTACGCCCTATCTGCTACCGGTATCTTGTGTGAGCCGTGGGACTGAGCTCACAAATGCGCATCGAGTGCGAGGTGCTGAAGTCTTTCATGAGATTCTCCTCCTTGCAAAGATGGGCAGTAATAAATGCAGGTAGTTGCAGGTAATTACACGCACAAGGAAGAGCTCCAAATGGTTGGAAAGTCACAGTCCTTCACCAGCTTGACACCACTTTGCGTCAGGCTTTTCTGCAGGCACTGCACCTGCGGCAGCAGAACCTTCTTACGCTAAGCCTGCTGGACATGGATGCTAATTGCTGGAAGTCCTCTGCATCGGCTGCCTCACAAAGCCAACGCTTTGCACCGGCATGCTGTCCGAGCACTGATCCTAAGACCTCATCTCTGCAGGAATCGTCGAGCTGGTTCTTTGCCAGCTCCGCCACAGCGGCTTTCGTCAGGGCCTGCATGGCACCTGCACCCGCATCTTCCAGCTTCGACAAATCTTGACAGAAGTGGTAACAAGCGGATGAACATGCCTGGAATCGTTGCGCCGTTTTTCAACACCATCGCGTCACAATCTGGCCATGCTTTTACAGCAGCATGCAAAAGCGGTGCTTAGATTTCAAGATGTCTCTCCCCTGACAACAGTTCCCAGGCACAAGCGAGTCGGCAACGCCCGTGCCAGAACAATGGGGTGACCTTGGACAGTGCCAAGGATTCACGAGAAGGCTTGCTCTAGCTCGACCCGTGCTGGAATAGAAAGCCGTGTGCCATGCAGAATATCCCTCAAGCGATCGGGATGAAAGGCTGTTTCTGGGTCCTATTCTCTTCGAGACATCCAGTAGACTGGTAACGAGATTGACAGCAGGCGGTCCAGCTTAAGAGTCCAGTCGAATCTTCTGTAGCGCCCGTCTGCCGCAATTCGCTTCCACACCTGCATCGGGGCGCTTGCGAGTCTAATGCCGAGGTTTTTGTTGTGCCGCCCGCCGCCTCACGGACTGCTGGTAGTCCGAGCCTGGCCATACAGGCTCTCGAACAAAACGTTGAAATCCCTTGCAACCATGAAGAGCGCACGGCTGGGCCACGGAGTGGGAGAGCACATGCACAATAGGACCACTTGTGGGCCACCTGTTCAAGACTCAAGCTCAGAGGCCATGCTGCGATCTTGATGCAAACGGTTCGTCGCCGGGCGCCCAGCGCCGGCTTTGTCTCGCTACCCTTGAAGAGCTCCTCGGGGACAGAAATGACTCGCCCAGGCCTTGTATGACTTCTGTATTCTGTTGCCCGCCTCCGCTGGTAGACTGCCGAAAAGCATGTGGTCATCGCAGGCGAAGAGTCCAATCCCTCGGCTAGGTGACACACGCAGCTCTATTATACACAACACAAGGACCGCCCCTCTTGCACTCGCATGCGCCTTCCACGAACAGATTTGAGAGAAGATCAGCCTCGCTTCTGAAAATGAGAGGGCGGCCTCTTGCCCTTGAGTGATGTAGGCTACGAGCCTGCTGCCGACCAACGACACTGAAGCAGAAAATCGACGGACCTGTCAACACTTCTCAGATAGTTGCAGCAAGTTGGACGAGTCTGCAACATGCCAGCAGCGCCAAACAGCATGGCGATGCCCTGAGGCAGCAGGGCCTAGGCGGCTCCGAATGAAGAGCAAGCTGAATCATCAAGCTGCTGCAGGCCCCGGCCGCCAAAAAGAGGCGAATCAACATGTGAAGATTCAAGCCCTCATCTGCTACTTGACTATCTGGGCCGGTGAGGTCCCAATTGCCTGCCTATGCAACACATTCCAAAAAAACTCAGGGTGCATGGAGGCTTCGACCTGGCTGTGAAAACGATTCATGATGCTGGAGCCTGCAGAATCGAGAATTGAAGCAGAAGCACAGCTGCACGACAAGCCATGGCAACTGCGGGACATCTGCCAACAAATAGTACTTTTCTGCAGGGCAAATTCTTGCAAGCGATGATCGGCATTATAGCAACAAAACCAGATATCTGACGGGTCAGAGGCCCAGTCTGTGAGCCCGCATGCGACATGATTCAGTGGGCTTTAGAGTTAGAGCACGGACTGTGCCTCCGGCCAGGGGAGCTTTGACTAACCCACATCGCCCGCTGCTAGTGAGAGCACAACAGACTTTGCCGATGCACCGAGTCGGAGTCTGAAGCAGAAGTAACAATTGCATCACACTTGCAGCCTCAAGACGTGGTCAAAGAGATGTAAACAATTTAACTGCTCTGCAGGATGATCTGGCATTTCTCCCTTCGAGAAACTACCACCAAGGAGGTAAGCTGATGAATGAGATAGTGTTAGCCTGTAGCATCGTGTCATGTTGCAGTAGCTTCAATCTCGCCATCCGATCTTGCAAAATTATGGGCTTCTGGTTAGAGCGTAGGTACACACATGAATGACATTCATCGGTCCGTCTTCAACATGTGTGTAGCCGTGTAGAGAGCTCACGGCGCGTTCGCTCTCAATTTGCTCGCTGCACGACATTGCCCATACCGAAGCCAACCTGCGGCACAGAGCACATCTTCTCATCTTGCTTGCCTATGCTTTGTCTAGATCGCAGCAATGCAATCGCTCCGCGTCGCTCTGAGAATATCCTCACAAAACCCCGAGAAACACGTACTACACCAAACCTGGAACGCGGTAGCCCTTCTGTGAGCAGAGTGGTTGTGCTCTTGGCCGGGCAAGCCTTGAATCGAACCATGACAGGACACACTGAGACGCGTGCAGACGCACTCCTCTGCGGAATGGTGCCGGCGTTCATGATAACTCCTGGTCGCATCGTGGCCTTCAGGGACATCCAACCCAACCTCCCCGACCAAGTCTTTCCGATTTGAGCGAGAGCTCAACAAGTCCCTCCTCCGCTGCACACCGCGCCTGCAGAGGGATCTGCCCGGTGGTGGTCATAGGCCCCGCAACGTAGCTCGGGCCTTCGAGAACTGTCCAGACTCACCACTCGCCAAATGCTTTTTGTGGCCTAGCTCCTAGAATACCGCTACAGCTTGTTGAATGATTTCGGAGATTCCAGAGATTTGCTAATCACTGGCATCAATGCTGGGGCCAGGACGTGCTGCAACTACGCGTGGCGCATTCACAAAGTTCGGCGCCATCTGCGAGACTCTGCTCTACTCCGTCATGAACCCACAGGCACCCACCGCCATCGCGAAATCAGGACCACGAAGCCTGTGGCATAGCCGGTCGAGCTACAGGCTGGCCAGGCTGGCCGGGCGCGGCCTG